TCTGAGGCTTTCTATAAAAGAAGTCAGGAACCTAGAAGGCCCATAATTAGGCTTTTGGTGTCTCTAACTTCTGTCTTTCAGGCACAGTATGTAGGAATTCCAGCTTGGATTATATCTGCACATTGTAATGTGTCTCCTCAACTGATTATATGATATCACTGTGGGGAAATACAGATGTGTTTTCCTCTAAGAAGGAACAGTGCTTCTGTATTCTGGAAGGCCTTTCCATGACACTGTGTGCCATCCTTATTAAATCCTTTGTTCAGTGTCTTGGGATCTTTCCATAACTAATATAATAAGCTATCAACAGCTGTTGTGGGTGCAGTGTTGGAAGGATACAGAACTGTTTTTGGATCTGCACTGGCTCCTTGTCAGCCTCACTCCTTGCTCCTTGTTGGCTACTTGATTTCCTCATATCCACAGATTGTGCTTCAATTTCTTTGATTAGGCCCTAAAAACACCAACAACTTATATACTGAAAATGACACTCAGTGGGTGTTGATAATTGCCTGGAAATCAGTCTGTCTCCACTTGGGCAAGGAATAGAACTTTGGGAATGATTACGTTAACATATGTTATAAGACAATAGAGAAAGGGGATTAGTGGTGGAGGTGAGACACAACTCTTTAAACTTCCTCCAAAGGTTCAAAAGAGAAGCAAATCAAGGAGCTGTCTAGCTGGCTCAGTTGGAAGAGCGTGCTGACTCTTGATCTTGAGGTTGTGATTTCGAGCCCTATATTGAGTGTAGAGTTGGCTTAAATAAACAAAAAAATAAACTTAAAAAGAGAGAGAAGTAAAGCAAAGGTGACTTAAGCAGGAAGCTGAAAGTAAGCTGTTAGAAATGAAATCAAATAAGTCGGCAACTACAATAAATACAAGCCATGGAAACTTACAGTTAAAATTGGAAGCTCTTGGGTTAGATTGAAGAAATAAAGTCCTGCCATATGATGTTTATGAGAGGTAACCCTAATACATGACGTACAGGAAGATCCTAAGTAAGTAAACAAATATATGGGTAACAAGGAAGAAAGGCAGACTGCTGAGCCAACTGTATGTATGTCAGTCACATAAACTTTAAAGCAGAAATAACTTATTAGAACAGTAATTCTGAATTTATATGAACTTCATAGCCTCCAGATGCATGAAGCAAAATTTGAGAGAATTACAAGGAACTACTGATAAAACCATAATGATAGTAGGAAATTTTAATGAGTTCTCATTAATTGAAGGAAACATTGGAATAGAGAAGTACATGATACAATTAATCCTGATTGAATGGATATATAAAAAAAACATTGAAATTAAATAAAAAATGTGTAATTTTTAAAAGCATGTGGAACATTTACAGAAAGTGACCAATTAGATGATTAAGTCTCAACACATGTCCATGCTTTGAAACTATACCACATCCTGTGAATATGATGAAATAAGAACAAAAAGATAAAAGAAAATACATTAAGAAATTTAAAACTGCACTTAAATCCAAAAAGAAATTAAGTTGTGAATTAGAAAATATTTCAAACTGAACTACAGTGGAGGCTACATACCAGTATCTCTAGATTGTAGTTGAAGACTTATATGGAGGAATATTGATGGCCTTAGGTGTGTAAATGAGAGGAGAAAATTATTCATCTGTGTGTCCTATTCAAAAAATTAGGAAAAGAATGGCAGAGTAATAATATATAGAAGTTAATAAAAAAGGAACTAATAAAGCTAAGAGCGTGCCCATATACACTAGAAAGCAAAGACAATCAAAAGCATTAATAAAATACACAAGTAGGCAAGATTAATCAAGGAAAAAATAATGAGGGTGAAAAGGAAAGAGATCTATAAATAATGTTTTTAAAAATAATACAGTAGGTTAATTTGAAAAGATTTATAAAAATAAAGGACAATTCTGTGTTTACTGAAGCTTCAAATAGAAGAGAAACTATCTTTTCCTGTTCTAGATATTAGAAAGAAAGCTCCCTAAATTCTGTTATTTACCTTGTGATACCTTGACAACAAAACCAGACAACGTCAGTATTGAGAAAGAAAACGAATCCATCTCACTTTTTTTAAAAAGAGATTTTACTTATTTATTTGAGAGAGAGACAGTGAGAGAGGTCATGAGAGGGGAGAAGGTCAGAGGGAGAAACAGACTCCCCGTGGAGCTGGGTGCCTAATGCAGGACTCGATCCCAGGACTCCAGGATCGTGACCTGAACCGAAGGCAGTTGCTTAACTAACTGAGCCACCCAGGTGCCTGAATCCATCTCACTTAAAAGCATATCAACAAAAGTCCTAAATAAAGTTTTAGCAAATGAAGTCTAAGAATATTGGGAAAACATCATACATACATCAGAACTAAGAGAAGTTTGCTTCAGAAATGCAAAAGCAAATAATGATGATGATGCAGGGAAAAAAAAAAAAAAAGCCCATCATTGAGAAAGACAAGATGACAAATCCCAAGTGAAGAACATTCTACGAAATACCTGATCAGTTGTCCTCAAAACAATGAAGGTCATCAAAAACGAGGACTCAGCCCAGAGGACATGAAGAAAACATGACAATTAAATGTAGTGTGGTATCCTGGATGGAATCTTGGAACAGGGGGGAAAAAAAGACATTAGGTAAAAAACTAAAGAGATCTAAATAAAGTATGGACTTTACATAACAATGTTTCAACATTGGTTCATTAATTATAGCAGATGTATTATAAGGGTGTTAGCAGCAGGGGATGTTAAATTAGACATGTTAAGTTAGACATAAATCCACAAGGACAAGGATGGCAGGAAAAAATACATAGTGACCGATGTGACCAAGGCATCAGCAGACCTGAAAATACCAAATCCTGTGTCAGTACTAGGAAAGGCCAAGAAGCAGCCTGACTACAGCTATTGCAGGTTCCCTAAAAGGGTTAGAAAATTGCCCATAAGAGATAGTTATAGAAGTAGGAGGTAATGGTGGGGTTAAAACCAGGAAGACTGTAAGTCTGTTTAAGAAATAGTTAGAATTTAATCCCAGAAGGAAAGCAAATAAATTGGGAGGTTTCTCTCCTAGAGTCACCAATACTAAGCTGGGTGTAGAGGTGCTATCTTGAAAACCAAGGAACTAAATAAGAGTTTGCATACTCTGAGCAGTAGAGTCTTTTTCCTAAAATTTGAGTTCAGGAAAAAAAAAAAACAACCCTAAAGATATGTATGTCTGAGGTTCTCTGAGAACATGGTGAAACTCAGCAAAGATCATACTTGTGCGCTATACTTCCAGTCAGCTCTTTGTGGCCCATTCTTAAATAGGAACAGATAGCCGAGGATCCCCAGCCATTTGAAGAGGATGTTTAATATGAAAAATATGAGAAAAATATAAGAATATGGGATGAAGTAGGGTGGAGCAGATCTTAAAAGAAGTCTGGAAAAAAGGGGAGGAGAGTCCGTTTCATCCATTCCTCAGCCAAAGGAATTCAGAGTGCACTTAAGCTTGATGAGCACTGAGTCATGTATAGAATTATTGAATTGTTATATTGTACCCCTGAAATTAATATAACACTAAAATTTTTTAAGATTTAGAATAAAACAAGAAAAGGAATATGGGAAGAAATAAAATTTTAAAAAGCTATTAATATCTTTAGAGAAGTAAGAATATATTGCATCCATGAAACAAGGATAAAGAGTATAAAAATGAACAGAAAACAAGAAAGAGCTTTTGGATATTAAAAATACGGCTGCAGAAATAAAATCAAGTCAGTGGAAGTCAGTACAACACATGAGTATTATAGTTGAAAGCACCAACGAACTGGCAAATACAGTGGCTGGAAATAGATACCAGGGCACTTCTCGAGGCTTCTGAACACTAGGTACAAAAAAAGGATACTAAAATTTTGCAGAGTTAATAATTTTTCATGAAATAATTTCAAGCATCAGAATGCTGCTGACTTTAAAATCACAAAGAAGACTATAAAAATGGAGCAAAGAACTTCCGTCACAGAATTCTATACCCAACCAAACTGTGGGCTGTAAGGGAACAAACACTTCGATATATGTAGGGGCATGCCCTTTCTCAGTCATCCCTAAGACATGGCCCGCTTAAAGGAAGAAATATCAAAGAGATACTGTCTGCCATTTTTGTGATTTTGGTCTTTAAAAAGAGAATTATAAACATACGTTCACATAAAATCCTGTAAACAAATGTTTATGGTAACCTTATTTATAATCATTAAAAAGAGAAAACTATCCAAACATTCTTCAGCAGGTGAATGGATAATCAAAGTAGGATACATCCATAAAATGGAATATTCATCTGCAATAAGAAGAAACCACCACATGGATGGATCTCAGGTGCATTAAGCTATGTGACGGCACCCAGAATAAAAGGATATATACTGTAGGATTCCACTTATATGACATTCTGAAAAAGGCAAAACTGTAGGGACAGGAAACAGCAGTGGTTGCAAGGGGCGAAGAATGTGGGGGAGGGGACTCACTATAAAGGGGGCACATCTGGGGTGATGAAGTTATTTCTTGTATCAATTTTCATGGCAGTTTGTGGTAACAGTTATGTGATTGTGTACACTTCTGAAAACTTGAATGTGAAAAGGATAAAATTTGTTGCAAGCAAATTACACCCCAGTAAACCTGAGTTAATAACAGCCACCACAGTTGTCACCCCAGCAATGAGGCCTTTCCTGGTCACCTATTTTTCATGGCCTTTTTCCCTATCCATCCTCCTCAAGGTTTTCATTCCCATCCCTCCCCTGCTTTATGAAATCCTTCCCAGGATCTCCAGAAACTGTTTTATCATATCTAGGCTGTTACCCTTTTAGTTTGAAGAATCAAACTCATTTGACCTTTCTTCATTGATTAAGCTTTTCTATCCTTTCAAATCGTCAGCGATTTGACACTTTTCATCTGCATTATTTTACTCTGAATACATAAATTGTCAAGCATGACTAATTTGCATTAAAGAGAAAAAGCTGTAGTGATGAAATCAAGATTGTGTTTGCAGACGTGTTTTTCTCTGTAGATAGCAGTGAGTGCCTTGCCGATGACTGTAGTATAATTGCTGGAGGGAACCTCACTGGTTGGCACCCAGACTCTGCTGCTGTATTATGGCGAAGAATCTTGGGAATCCTCGGGGACGTGAACAATATCCAGTCACCCAAGATTCACGCCAAAGTGTTTGGGTATCTCTATGAGCTCTGGTACAAACTAGCAAAGGTATGTCCTGCTCCATTAACTTTTATTCTAATGGGAGAAACTGATTTATCATGTAACATAAAAACTGTGTTGCAGTTGATGTATTCTGGAACACAGATCAGGTGTGTAGACAGAGTATGTTTGATTGGCAAAGAATAAATAATAAAGAACTTACAGTTTGGGCATTTTATAAATGCAGAAGAGTTATTTAATGCATATAGAGAATATTACTATAGGACATTAAAAGGTAGGGTGCTGAGTGGTTTATTTTTTTATAAAAGAGATACTGTTTTTATTGTACAAAATTTGAAAAATATAGAAAAATGTAAGAAGAAAATTAACATCATCATCCCACAGAGATATCCAGTATAAATATATTGTCTTATTCTGTGGGTAAATACATTTTTACAAAGGTAGAATTTTAGAATACATACAGTTTTCATTCTGGTTTTTGTTTATAAGGTATGATTTTCCTAGGTTAAGTTTTTTGTTTTTTACTTTTGTTTTTCAAAAATGATTTATATTTATGCAGTATAATTTGTTAAGCCATTCCTTACCATGTAGAGTTCAGGACCTCCCCCAGCATTCACACTCAAGGGAAAACAAAGCCCTAGTTTTGTATTAAATCTAAAACCATGTCCAGTAAGTGGAACACAATTCAAAATGACAGTAGATCTCAGTAAAAGAAAAAATTGTAAATGTTGTAGGTTTTTACTCAGTGTACAAAAATTTAGTGAGAAGCAGCTCTTTGGCTATGGAACATTGGCTACATTTGGCTGCACAACATTGAAATATTTTGGGGATAAGCTAAGCATGGCCTTTACTAAAATTCTCCTCTCTGTGACTTAGATACGGGATAATCTGGCAATAAGCCTGGATAACCAGTCTTCTCCATCTCCACCAGTCCTGATCCCACCACTCAGAATGTTTGCATCATGGCTATTTAAGGCAAGTGGATGTGTGTTTATTCCTTTATTGCAATTTCCTCTTCCTTTCTGAAATTGAGTTTAAAAAATGTAATTGCCCAAGACTGCACGTTTTGAAGACAAACTGGATCTTACTAAAGCCCCTGCATCCCTCATCTCCATAAACAACTCTTATGGAATACTAAGAAGTAAATGAAATGTTGAAATGCTCTGCATCTGGAGTTAATTAAATATTTAAACCTCATCTCCTTGGCAGGCGACGACGTTGCCAAATGAATATAAGGAAGGGAAACTGCAAGCCTACAGACTGATCTGTGCCATGATGACCAGACGCCAGGACGTTCTGCCAAACTCGGACTTCCTGGTGCATTTTTACCTTGTGATGCACCTGGGATTAACCAGCGAGGATCAGGTATTCTGTGACTCTCCTATCATGGTAGCCCACAAGGTGGAAAGTGCATATGACTTTTTGCAGGTTAAATTAGGGTTCATGAAAATACATCAAACACAAAAATTCTCAGTAGTTTCAGCTTATCTACACACAGCAACCACATTGATCTTTCAAAATTGTAAATCACCTTTCATCACATCCCTGCTTCTTCTCTCCACTGACCTTGCATTGTGCCAACCGAATTTGAACTTTATTCTGTGGCTTACATAGTGCTAGATGAGCTAGCCTCAGCCTACGTTGTCAAATTCAAAAATGGTGTTGGGGTTCTGCAGTAGATATTGTTCCAAGAAAATTATTCTGGTCACTTAAAAATGTTTGAAAAGTATTGTTTTAGTAATCAGGGTGTTTTTTTACAAGACCACACTCATACATTAGGGGTCCTGACATTTCTAGATGAGGAGTTATCTTAATTTCTTCGGAAGAGGGGTTAAAAAGGAAACAGAAAGGTCAATGGAGCTACTAGTGACAGCCCATCCTTGTAGATCGTGGGTGTGCAGGGTAGGATGTGGCCAGTCCCTGGCCTGTCTCCGTTGGGAAGAGCCCTGCCTCTGGGCAGAGGGCAGGGAGGGGAATAGGAACTCAGTCCTGATTTGCTGTATGAATATCAAGCCAGGAAGTGGTAAGATTGGTTTGTATTTCACAGAGATTATTCTGGACTCAGTTTGAAAGATGAATTTGAAAATGTGACGGTGATAGGATAGAGTGGGCGGTTGGGCCTGGAGACAGATTAATTAGGACGTGATTAAACTTTAAAATGATGCGAATTAAGATGTTAGCACTGGGAATGGAAAGGAATAGGAAAGATTCAAGAAATTTCAAAGCATTTCATGTTGTTACTAGGTCTTTTTGACCTATTAGAGGGATGGAGAATGTTTCAGAATTTACCCTTGAAATTGTACCTACTTACCAGTGACCTTGAATCATTCATGAACTACCAAGATGTCATCCTTTCTGTATTTGTTTTATTCTCTGAATGTATAATACAGACACACCTTTTTGATACCCTTGAGATACATGTAAGAGGTCATTCTCCAGAATACCTAGTTTTTCTCTATTGCTTCACAATGTGCTTCTTGAAGCTTCTAGACCCTTCAGCCCTATTTCAAACTCTCGGATACATCCCCTGATATACGATGATGAGCTTTCATCATGGAGCTTTTATCTGAAGTAATAACCATACTGTCCTACTGAGTTGTCTTTGTCATATTTGCTCTGATGCCAGCAGTGCATAGAGGACATTCTGTATAATAGACTGGACTTGGACCCACAGTCTCATTTATTTCCTAAAAAAATGCAGAAATAGAGATGTGAAAGCAGAAATGTTTGTACTCTTTGCTAAGATATTTGTAGCCATCATTGCAGGTGGAATCGTCTTTCACAGAATGATGTAACAGGGTGTGTGGAAGATCGAGGGATATAAATAGGGAAGAGAATGAACTCTCACAGATCATAACGAAATCCCTCAGTGACAGAAGAGACAAAGGTTTAGTTAACATAGTACTTTAAAGAAGTATTTTGCTAAGATTTTGCAGGGAAATAAATTTAGTTGGAAATAATCAACTGTAGAATTTTCTCATTCAATGAAAACAAATTAGAAGTCAGCAGCAAACACTTAGTATTCCTAGAATAAGTTTTCTAGAAAGTGACATAAATAGATGGGAATTTAAAATCATCTTTCAAAAAATAAAAATAAAAATAAAATAAAATCATCTTTCTATTTTAAAGGCTGTTGGAGTGGAAATGAAACGATAACATGAGGTGAAATAGAGTTTGAGAACCCAAAACATAATTTCAAAAAATATGATTTTATAGTGTAGAAAAAGGAAGTTTTCAGATTTTTATACTTAAAATTATTTTCATTTTAAAATTATTTTAATATATGCCATGTTTTGGTTAAATTTGAGCTTTTATAGTTCATTGCAAAGTACGTAAATCTTAAGTGTTGGCCCATTGCTAGCAGTGATCCCAATATCCAGACTCCTAAGACAAAACTGGGATGTAAATCTCTGTTTTATAATCAGCCTATTGTCTAGCCATTAGACACTTGAATTTTTATGTGTGTTAAATAGAACTGGCTGTTCTGATGTAAACTTAACAGTTATTGGTATATGTTTTAGAATCCCTGTCTGCCAAACAGAATTACTCTAAATAAGCCTTATTTCTTTTCCAGAATAAAATTATACAGAATATCTTCTAATGAAAGAAACTTTTCTCATTTAAGTAAGAAATGTCTCTGATAATTAGTTTAACTTTTGGTCCACATGCCTAAATGGATCATGGTGGTTTTTCCAGAACTTATATGTACTTCTGGAAGCAGATATTATATTAATTATAAAAATACAAGAAAGCACTTACAGTAGAGAATACAGTTAAATCAGTTAAATTCAATTTTTTATTAGCCAACTGTGCACCTGTGACTAGTACCATCTCAGGGCTTGTTTCCTAATTGTGAAAGCTCTCAAAGAGTCACTAGCCTGCCCCTAAAAGCCTTTTTTCCTGCAGGGAGACCCTTATAAAAATTTTCCTTGTTTCTTAGTAAAATAAGTAATAGCAAATAATTTAAAATGGTCTAACATTTATTAGTTTTGTCTTACAAATAAAATTCAAGGTGAATTTCCTCCTTTTACCGTTAGGTGGAACACTTGTCTGCACAACTCTCACCGTGTGGCTCCCTCGCCTCTCTTGGCCTTTAAAAGGGAGGCAAGGCCCAGAGCCCTGTGAGCCTGATGGTGTGGCTTAGTCATTTTGCAAATGCTTTCCTAAATATGAGAGTATCGAAATTATGTCAGTAGTGGCTAATAAAGTGTTGAATTGGAAATAAGCTTTAAGATGTTAAAAATCTTTTTCTCGTATGTAAGGGCACTTCTAGTAATTGAAGACATTAAAAAAAAAAACTATTTGTAAAATAGATGTCTCACAGACTGTTCTGTGATACAATCAGATGAAACCATGGTTTCATTTAATATGGTAGCCAATTCATTATGTAAACAAATGTAGACCGTTCTGTATTTAAAAATATAATAATGATACATAGACTGAACGCCAAAATGTAGCACATTCCAAGCCAACTGTTTTTAATTGGGCCAGGTTTATCTATCCTAATAACTGAATAATTTACTATCTAAAATAATGACTTTATCAACTAGTATTTTCCCAGGTACCGATGCAGTTTGAGTTTATGGTTTATTAGCATAATTGAGAAAATACTTTGAAATAACTGTAAACTTCTCCTACATTCTGAATTATTTTAAAAAATATTGATACTGTTACTTGTTTAGAAAATATGTAGGATCATAAGGACTTTCAAAATAACTCTACATTATGAATAAAATTTGGGGTGACTTGAGGAACTGACTGCCCAGCCTGCCTATGAAGGGTCTTCCAGTTAGCTTCCACTCTGCCCAGCTGCTTCGTGTCTCGTTGGCTGGTGAGGGCAGGACAGAGGGTCTTCAATTCCCTAGCACCCACACACACACACACAGTGCCGGATTCTGTACTGGCACCTGCGTGACGTTGTCCTACTGATTCGTCTCTGCAATTCGCTTAGATTAATATCATGACCCATTGTTTAAATAGCAAAGGTTCAAAAAATATTGAGAACTTTTGCCCAATGCCACATATTAAAAAGGCTGATAGAATTTACAAGCAAGGCTTGGCTTATTCCAACAGGGTATATCTTTCCCCTTGATCCATAGCCAACAGGCTGGTCAAGCAGTCCAGTCCTTGATTCTGTTTCTCTTTCCATCTTGTTTGACCTGGGCTCAAGCCTTGGCCCCCTCTTCTCAAACCCCTCCTGACTGGAGTGCCCTCCCACCTCTAGCCCCAGATAGCTTTCCATAGGTGCCCTCCCAGCTCCTCACCATCTTTCAGCTGCCCTTCTAAAGCTGTTCCTGGTTGTTCTTAATTTTTCCTAATGCTTAGGCAGCTTTTTCACCTCAGTCTTCCCCAAAATATTTGGACTTGAAAAGCACCGTGATTTGGGTTTATTGAAAACAGTTCCTATTAATTTCATCATTATTTAAAACATATGGAAAGATCAATATGTGTGAAATGGAAAAGGACAGTTGAGGAAAGGAATTTTATTTTCATGTTTTTAAGAACATATATCAAAGACTGGATCGTTTTCTTTGCTTAAAGTAAGTGAACTGTTTTTTAACAATGACTTACAGATTTAATGTCTTAATGCAGTTTGTTACACATCAAAGTTAAAGTCTCTTTTAAAGGCAAAGCTTACATTAATATAAAATTATTGTTGGAAATTTGCATCTAGAAACTTTGGGAAATAAAAGTCTTTGTCATTTTCATCCGTAATTTTGTAACACAGCAAAAAAGCATGAGGCCTCTCTCAGGTAGAGAAATATATGTTGTTCAGCCTGGAGGTAACCGGTAAATGACAAATTTGAATCATAACAGTATAAAGTCGTGGACTAAGTGTAATGCAGTATGATTAAAAAGTGTAATAGTTAAGTGCATGGGCTTTAAGACAGCCTGTCTGCGCTCCAGTCTTGGCTGTTCCTCTTATTAGCCAAGTCATTTGACCTCACTATGACTTCCTCCCCTTATATGTAAAATGCAGGAAATTAGGGTTCTTACCTCCAGTAGTTGTTTGAAGACTTTGAGAAGGTAAAATATGTAATGCACTCAACTCAGAGCCTGGACGCACCAGCCCTCAGTAAAGTGAGCCCTTGTAATGATACTGAAGAGTATGAGGAAAAGAATAGCAGCTTTAGTAACTGGGTGTATTTTATTTTCTGATATGTTAAGATGTTAATGCTTTTCTTTCCCCATATATTTGCTTACTTTTGACATAATGGTTTGACTAAAAGATAGAATTAGGCATTGTGGAATATCAGAACATGTGGAGAAATATCCACTCTCCATGCTGTAGGTCAGACTTCACTAAAATGTTTATTTAACCCACTTGTGATTCATAAACATTTTTTGTGTGTCTCCTGCCACTG